GGGGGTCCCCACTGGGGGACTGGGCCGGCCTGGGTGAGGGGCTGAGGGCTATTTGGTGGCACAGTGCAGGCCCACCAAGCCCTTGGCTTTGTCCGGAAGGATGTCCAGAAGATCTTCAGAAAGTCTCCCAGTCTAATTAGCATAGACACGCATCTGATAATACAGGAGCACCTAAATATGTTTTTAAAAAACTCTTGGTGAGCTTTAAGGGTGAGACAACAACAATACAAAGTAGGGGACGTTAACACCCCACTGTCGTCAATGGATAGATCTTTCAGATTAAAAAAAAAAAAAATCAACAAGGAAACAGAGACTTCAAATGACACACTAGATCGAATGGGTAGAATTGATAGTTATAGAATATTTCATCCCAAAGTAACAAAATATATGTTCTTTTCAAGTGCACATGGAACCGTATCAAAGATAGAGCACATGTTAAGACACAAGCCGAAACTGGTTTGGCTCAGTGGATAGAGCGTCGGCCTGCAGACTGAAAGGTTCCAGGTTCGATTCTGGTCAAGGGCATGTACCTTGGTTGCGGGCACATCCCCATTGTGGGGGGGTGGGGGGGGCAGGTGCAAGAGGCAGCTGATCGATGATTCTCTCTCATTGATGTTTCTAACTCTCTATCCCTCTCTCTTCCTCTCTGTAAACAGTCAATAAAATATATTTCTTAAAAAAAAGACACAAGACAGCCCCGCCCCAGCTCTCACTGCGGGAGCCGGGAACCCATCACCCTGGCAGGGCATGGAAGAAACCCGTTTCCTGCTCTGCTCCCTTGTGTTGGTGGAGGACCTTTATCCCGTTCACTGCTCGCAGAGTCTCCACGGAGTTTACTTGCCAACAACACTAATACGTTACTGGCCCCTTCAATCTGGTCTATTGGTGTGAGTTGGGCATTTTCTTGCCCATGTGACCTGGTTTCCCAAGGCCATTCTTTCCTTCCTGGTCCAACTCCTGGCTGCAGGGATGAAGGAAGTGACCAGAACTTGGAAAACAGTAGTTGGCGTCACACATGCTAACAGCCATTCCAAACATGGCTGGAGAGTCATGATCGCTATTGGATGGGCCCGAGGCGCAGGTGGCAGCATTGTCACAAAGGCTGAGCTATGGGTACTCGGAGGCTGGAGGCCACAGGCTGATGAAGGGATGAAGGTGTCCTACCCTGCCAAGGCCAATTATCTTCACATCCCGGCCCCCGGAGCATGACCTGGTGCCCCTCTGTACGATGTTTCTCAGGGTCCACAGAGAGTCGTGCTGACTGCCGAGGTCCCTACTGTGCCTTCTGAGGCTACGGCGAGTCGGATATGGTTTGGCTGGAGGCAGCAGTTCTTGCCACGTGAAAAGGAAAGCCGAATAAGCACGTCGACCACAGAGTCCTACAGCTGTTACTTCAGATAAAGTTAAAAAGGAAGGGCACTAAGAAGACTGAGTAAATTTACTCAATGGGTTTTAGGAGGCAAAAACAGTCTTATCTACCAGGCAGACTGTGATAAGTGTTTCTCTTGAAAATGATGTGAAATAAAGAGTACATGTAAGGGATGGTGACAGAGAGAGAAAGAACTTCTTTCTATTTCAAGGAGACGACCTCTTTCTGGATGGTAACTCTCCAGTTGGTATGAGTGTGTCTGAGTGTGTCATGTGACATTGTTCTTCTAAGTTATATAAAAATATGGTGGTTGTTTTACAGTTTTATATTGATAAAGGCAGGCTAGATTTTTTTTTTTTTCAGTGTTAGAGAAAGTGAGCCTATTATCATCGCAAGGTTACCAAAGTTAAATCCTTTTTGTTTTCTTTAGATATTTTTTAATCCATTTAAGCTTTAGTTGAGCAAAATTAAACTTCTATTTCATGCTATCATTATAGTTTCTAGATATGGAAAACAATTCCTGTTTAATTTTGAACAATGGGAAGAGTAAACTTTACCTAAATCACTTTATGTTGCAAAGAAAGTAAATTCCTCCTTTATATCTCAGATATAAATATTGTATGTTTTGCCCACATTAAATGGAAATATCTGAAATTTTATTAGTTTTTTTTCTAGTAGTTTTTTTTTCAGTGAGAACAGAGTATTAGCATGAGCCTCTAAGTCTATTTCATGCCCTTGTTTATACTGTTTCTTTCTTCGCAGAAGAAAATCAGGGGTGAACTATATGTATATATGGCTAATATGCAAAGAGTCCTCTCCGGAGTTCCACTAGAGTTCAATCACTTGCTATGACATGCGCTGACCACCAGGGGGCTGCACAGAACAAAGGAAGGCACCCATCAGCCCTGATCCTGAGCCAGACCGAGGGACCCTACCTGTGCACTAATTTCATGCACCAGGCCTCTAATTTTTAATAAATTTATAATCCTATGTTTTGCTTTGTAAGTTTCATTTGAGAAGCTATTATTTTTTTCTCTCCCCTTAAAACATTTGTTTTTAACTATAGGAGAAATTATTCTCAGCATTTCACATATTCTTTCTGCTTTGAATACACTGATGGTAAGATCATCTTCATGATTCAACAAAAAGTATTATTTTAATTTTAAAATTTTCCCCTTTTGTCTTTTTTCTAATGGGAACTTTTCAGTTTTCTAGTTGAAAAGTCTCTGACTAGTTTGTATGTGTTTAAGTTGTATTTTAATATGTAGCTACATATGTTATTAATTTTATTTTAAATAAAAATAATAACTCTTATGTAAAAATGTTCAACTCTTAAGAGAATGGTCCTGTGCCTTTGGCAGTAACCAGCTAATCAAGAAACAGAAACTAAACTTCCATATGGTAATCCTCTTGAGTAAAAACTCATGACATTATATCAGATTTCTTTTAGATTTTCTTGCTTCATTTTATAGTTTGAAAGTCCATTATAATTTTAAAATTCGATGACAGACATTTCTTCTACTCAGATTATGAACCTGCCTACCTGCAAAGAATTTGTATGTAGCCAGCATTTTTGGATGGCAAAGTATTATACTCAAATCACATTCAAATTAAAAGTTTAAAACATGTTTAACACATACAAACACCAGCAGGGATTACTTATACTCACTAAAAAAAAATTGGTGGGGGGGGGGGGGAGTAGGGTAGGAATTATGATAGTTTTTATATACTAAGAAATTTATGTTTAATATTGTGACAAAAGGAATTAAAAATATGAGTTCTTTCTTGCATTTCATATTCTTGTACTTTTCAAAATTAACATGTTACTAATCATTGACTTCGTTTTGAAGTTTGGGTTTGATGGTAGTTGAAATGTCAGGAATCTTGTTTTACACTGTGTTAAAGACAAAGCTATTAAAATAAGTTATTTAGCACCCGCCCCCCCCCCCAAAAAAAAGACACAAGACAAGTCTCTACAATTTCAATTTCAAGGAGATTGAAGTCATATCAAACACCTTCTCAGGTCACAATGGCATGAAACTAGAAATCCACCACTATAAAACTATTCAAAAATATTAAAACACCTGGAGGCCAAATAACATGTTATTAAACAATGAATGAGTTACCAATGAGACGAAGGAAGAAATAAAAAAAAATTACCTGGAAACAAATAAAAACGAACACACAACAACACAAAATCTATGGGGCACAACAAAAGCAGTCCTAAGAGGAAAGTTCATAGCATTATCAGCCTTCCTCAAGAAGAAAGAAAAAATTTCAAGGAAGCAATCTAATCTTATACCTTAAAGGAATAAGAGCAAGAACAATCAGAAAATCCCAGGGTAAGAAGAAGAAGAAAAAAAAATAATGAAGATCAGAGCAAAAATAAATGACATAGAAACACACACACACACACACACACACACAAAAAAAAAAATACTTATTTGAAAACTTAAACAAGATGGATGAACTTTTATCCAGACTCATCAAGAAACCAAGAGAGAAGACCCTGGAAAATAAAATCAGAAGTGAAATATCCAAAATATATAAAGTACTCATACAACTCAACAAAAGGAAGACAAGCAATCCAATTTTTTTTTTTTTTTTTTAATGGGCAGAAGACCCGAATATACATTCCTTGGAAGAGGACATACAGATGGCCAAGAGACATAGGAGCAACTCCAAAAGGACTTTGTTTTCAAACTTGGCATGTGTGTGTGGGGGGGGGGGGGGGGGGGGGAAGACAAGTTGGAAGGAACGCGTTTGGAGAGAACAAAGAAAAATGAGGGCGGCTCCCCACCTCCCCACCTTTGCCCCAAACCTAGGCCATTGTCCTTAAAGCAGTGGTTCTCAACTTCCTAATGCCTCAACTCTTCAATAGAATTCCTCATATTGTGGTGACCCCCCCCAACCGTAACATTATTTTCGTTGCTACTTCCTGTAATGTTGCTGCTGTTAATGAATCGTAATGTAAAAATTCTGTGTTTTCCTATAGTTTAGCCGACCCCCTGACAGCGGTTCTCAACCTGTGGGGGGCGACCCCTTCCAGGCTCCAGGCTCCAGGCTCCCGGCTCCCGGCTCCCGGCGCCTGCCCCTTGTCTCAGCCGAGTCCAGAGGAAACTGGGAGCCATGTGGCGGCGGTGGGAGCACAGAGGCCCATGCCAGCCGGTGGAGGACGTCAGGGGGAGGTCCCAGAGCCTGTAGACACAGACTAAATGGCACAGGAGACAGTCCCCTGAACAGGTTCCCCTTCCTCCCCACCATTTCCCTGGTCCTGCTCCTTTCCCAGGCTGCTCTGACTGTCAGCGTCCCTCCGGCCAATACTTCCTGTTTCTCTTTGCTTCTCGCGCACCTTGGTCGCTCGCGTTCCCACCACGCGCGCTGCGCCCAACGGACCGGCACCGGGACCGGCACCGGGACCGGCACCGGAACCGGCACCGGCACCGCCCAGAAGACCAACTGCATGCCTTGGCCAGGCCCTGCGCCCTCGCCATCCTGCACCCAGGCTGGCCTGCAGCAGCCCCTGCTCACCCAGCGCCCGCGCTTGGCGCGCCTCTAGCGGCCGAGCCGGGAACTGCAGGGGCGGGCTCACTGGTGGAACAGCTGTGCCATGAGGTCAGGAAGGACCTTCATGTCCCCAGGCCATTGGCTCTCAGTGCTGGGCCTGGCATTGCTCCTGGTGGACTCCCTCGGCGGCGAGGACTTCTATTTTCACCCGGAGTGGGGGTTTGACGCCTATGAAATCACCGTCCCCAGAAAGCTCAGCTTCCGGGGAGGGGAGCAGGGGGCCTTCAGACACATGTCCTACCTCCTGCAGGTGCAAGGCCAGAAGCACGTCCTCCACCTGTGGCCCAAGAGGCTCCTGCTGCCCCGGCACCTGCAGGTCTTCTCCTACACAGAGCAGGGGGAGCTGGTGGAGGACTACCCTTACATCCCCAGGGACTGCAGCTATGTGGGCGTGGTGGAGGGAGCCGAGGATTCTGAAGCCACTCTCAGCACCTGTGCGGGCGGCCTCCGAGGCATATTGAAAATCGACGCCAAGTATTACCAAATGGAGCCCCTCAGGGGCTCTTCCGGGTTTGAACATGCCCTGTATCTCCTGAAGGACGAGTGGGGATTTCAGGACCGGATCTGTGGCATCTCTGGGGATGGGACGGAAGAGCCGACGGCCCAGCCTGACATCCTGGCTCGATATAATGATTTTATATCTGGACCCTCGATGCACCAGAAATATTGTGAACTAGGCCTGGTCTTTGATCATGACAGATATGTGTTTTCAAATTCCAATCTCACTGATGTCACCAACGACGCCATTCTTCTGACTTCGATCATGGACACTTACTTTCAGGAGCTCCGTACGAGGGTAATGCTGCGTGCCCTTGAAGTGTGGTCCGAAAGAGACAGAGTCGATCTTAACTTTCCGTCGTTACAGCAAGCGCTAAGACAGTTTTTGATATACCAGAAAGATATACTAAGTTATCAGTTTAAAGTAGACTGGTCACAACTCTTCATTAAGAGAAGTTTCAAGGATGCCGTGGCCTGGTCCTGGGGGATTGTGTGCACGGAGAGGTACGCAGGGTCTGCGTGTGCTTTTCCGGACATGCGCATCCTCGGACCTGCCACCTGGAGTGCCCACAACATCGGCCATAGTTTGGGGATGCAGCACGACGGGCCCACCTGCCGGTGCGGCGGCCGGCGGAGCTGCATCATGGGCACCGGCCGGTTCGGGTTCAGCAACTGCAGCATCATCCACTTCTTTAACCACGTCCACAAAGCAGCCAACTGCCTGAACAACATCCCCGGGGAGGACTACGTAATTAAGAGGTGCGGGAACAAAATCGTGGAGGACGAGGAGCAGTGCGACTGCAGCTCCTTGGAGGACTGCGAGGAAGACCTGTGCTGCGAGCCGGGCTGCAGGCTCAGGCCGGGGGCCAACTGCAGCATGGGGCTCTGCTGCCACCAGTGTCACTTCCGCCCCTCCGGGCACATGTGCCGGAAGGAGGAGACCGAGTGCGACCTCGCCGAGTACTGCGACGGGGGTCTCCGAGTTCTGCCCCAACGACACGTACAAGCAGGACGGCACCCCGTGCAAGTACAGCGCCCACTGTTTCCAGAAGGGGTGCCACTCCACGCACGTGCAGTGCCAAAGCCTCTTCGGGGCCCACGCCAGGGAGGCCCCCGAGCGGTGCTACCAGGCGGTGAACGCCATGGGGGACCAGTACGGGAACTGCGGCATAGTTGGAGCCGGCGACTCCAAGAAGTGCACCGGCAAGAACGCCATCTGCGGCCGGGTGCAGTGCATCCACGTCGAGACCCTCCCGGACCTGCCGGCTCAAACGAGCATCGTGTCTACCTACCTGGGCGAGGATAACCTGATGTGCTGGGGCGTCGGCTACCGCCTGTCCCTGATCCCCATGGGGATCCCCGACCGGGGGGGGGGGGGGGGGGGGGGGGGTGGTCTACGACGGCACCTCCTGCGGCAAGGACCGGGTGTGCGTGAACACGACGTGCTTCAACGTCTCCGTCCTGCGGTTCGACTGCGTGCCCGCGAAGTGCAACCACAGGGGGCTACTGCAACCACGACAGGAACTGCCACTGCCAGTGCGGCTGGGCGCCGCCGCCCTGCGAGGACCAGGGCTACGGGGGCAGCGAGGATAGCGGGCCGCCGGGGCCGCTGCCGCAGGAGGTGCCCGCCGCGGCGCAGGTCGTGTCCCTCACGTTGTTGTTGCGCGTCGGCCTGTTGGCCCTCTCCATGGTCGTCGTGTTCTTCAGGCGGTTCCTAAGGAGCTTGTGCAGGCCCCGGGGAGAGAAAACCCAAAGAGAAAGGCGGGCCGCCCAAAGAAGGCACGGGAGAGCCCCCCCGATGACGCGGGAGGGGCAAAAGCAAAGAAAGGGAAGAAAGGGAAGAAGGGATCCAAGAAGCCCTCGGTCACTGAGTGACACGGGGCCACGTCCCGGGCAAGTCTATCGTTTATCCACGCGGCGCGTCATGCTTCTCCAAACTCTTTTTTCTTTTTTTTTTCTTTTTTACTGACTTTCCCTTTGTGGTCGAGGAGCAAAATAAATGATCTTCTTGTTCGGGAGACAAGCCGGTGCGTGTTTGCTTCCCTCGTGTCCGCGAGGACCGGAGTTTGTGAAGAGGAAGGCTCTGGTGGCTTTTCTTTTTTCTTTTTCTTTTTCTTTTTTATATATATATTTTATTGATTTTTTTACAGAGAGGAAAGGAGAAGGATAGTTAGAAACATCGATGAGAATCATCCATCAGCTGTCTCCTGCACACTCCCCACCGGGGATGTGCCCGCAACCCAGGTACATGCCCTTGACTGGAATCGAACCTGGGACCCTTCAGTCCGCAGGCCGACGCTCTATCCACTGGGCCAAACTGGTCTGGGCTCTGGTGGCCTTTCTGAGCTGAAGCTCTGGGCGGTGTGAGTCTCAGAGGGCGGCAGTGCTCGTCAGAGCAGAGTCCTGCCTCTCAGAGTCCCAGCAAGCGGAGGGGGCCTCAGCCTTGGCCTCTGCCTCCCTCCCCCGGTGTTACCGGTGAGGTGGCCTGTGCCCGAGTCCCATGCTGGGCCACCCATGGTGACCTCCGCAGTTTACACATGGGAAGCCAGGCCCTAGCAGGATGTCCCTCGGATAAGCTTATCACCCCAGAGAATCCCTGTCTGGGCCACTCAGCTCTACGGATGTGTGGTCTCTGACTCAAGTGTCTGGATGACCTCAGTGGGTTAGGGCACTAATCTCTTGCTTTGTGATTAATAATGACGACATTAATCATTAATGATTCATAAATGACGACAGCCCCTGGCAGTATGCAGAGGACAAGGATCTAGCAATAGTCTGTGCTTTGAGATTCTGCCCACAGAGACACCTGGCTCTAGGTTTGGCACGCCCCTCAGTGGAGCAGAGGAGAGTGGGGAACCCCTTCCACGCCCCAGGACCCCCCTGTCTGCCTCCAAAAAATTTCCCCCCTTTCCTGGGGCTTTGGGGGAAGGGGAAGAGGGCTAAGTAGGCCTTGGGAGGAGTCAGTGTCCACCTCTTCTGCCCAGGCAGGGTCACATCTTTCGAAAACCTGTCAGCCCAGGTCAGTGGTCAGCAGACTCATTAGTGAACAGAGCCAAATACCAACAGCACAACAACATTTCTTTTGAGAGCCACATTTCTTACTATTTTATTTTTTTATTTAATATATTTTATTGATTTTTTTACAGACAGGAAGGGAGAGAGATAGAGAGTTAGAAGCATCGATGAGAGAGAGTCATCAATCAGCTGCCTCTTGCACGTCCCCTACTGGGGATGTGCCCACAATCAAGGTACATGCCCTTAACCGGAATCGAACCTGGGACCCTTCAGTCCGCAGGCTGATGCTCTATCCACTGAGCCAAACCGGTTTCAGCGAGAGCCACATTTATTTTAAACTTAGACTTCTTCTAACGCCGCTTCTTCAAAATAGACTCGCCCAGGCCGTGGTCGTGTTGTAGAAGAGCCACACTCAAGGGGCCAAGAGCCTCAAGAGCCACAGTTTGCCAACCACTGGCCCAGGTGTTTTCCGTCGTGTCCTAGGCTGAGCCTCCCTGCTGTTCTCTCATCAGGCCCCAGGGCACCTCCTTCCCGCGCACCACAAGCCCACCGTCCACCACCCCAGCATCCTCTCGTCCCAGCTACATCATTCTTCTCGTTATGGAAGAGGTTGGGTATGCTTCATTATAGTGGTCTCTGTGGACTATTGGGGGGGGGGGTGCTTTTACTCAGAGAACATCAAGATAACCCATGTGTTGTGGTGGTCAAGCTTGGTCATCATGAGAAAAGGTTCTGAGAGAAAACAAGGACATTGGTTTCCAGCCTGATGCTGACAATGATGGCTGCGGTGGATTGAGAGCTCCGTGCGTGCCAGGCGATGACGTGTATTACTGTCATGCTCCTGACCATAACTCTGTGAGGAGGTGTTGTCTTCCTGTTTCCTGAAAAGAGAAATAGAGGCACAACAAGGTTAAATCACCTGCTCACAATTACGTAACTAATAAGTAATGGCATTGTTCAAGGAAACATTATACAGATATTAGGAAAGTGAATTTAGAGAGAGGATAAAAAAATTTTAATTGTGATCAAATGTGCATCATAGCTACCACCTTACCCATTTCTCTATTGATTTCAGAAATAATTGACAAATATAATTGAAGAGATATAAAGGATACCATGTGGTGGTTTGATATGCATATACATTGTGGAGTGACTACCAAGATCAAAATAATGAACAGATCTGTCACCTCACATAGTTAATTGGGGGAGGAGGGACACTAATGAGGATGCCAAATGAGAGCTCTAAGCAAATTTCAGGTAGATTATTAACGACAAGTACCATCACCATGCTGCATATTAGGTTCTCAGAACTATATTACTTGTGATAGCTTGTACCCTTTGACCTCCATCTACCCATTTTCCCCTTTCCCCCCAGTCTCTGGCAACCACCATTCTATTTTGTGTTTCTATGAAATTGATGCTCTTTTTTTTTTTTTTTTTTATTCTACATATCAATAGAATCTGTACATCTCTGTCTGGCTTCTTCTGTTAGCATAATGCCCTCCAGTTTCTTCCACGTTGTTGTAAATGGCAGGGTTTCCTTTTTGCAGCTGAATCATATTCCAGGCCAGGCTGGGGGAGGGAAGCCTGCGATGACTTGGGAAGAAGCAGATAGCTGTGCAGGAGGAGAGTCAGGATCATAGGTGGTCTCAGAAGCACTGCAGGGAAGATGCCATGGTCAACAGGGGAAATACTGAGCCGAGCTGAAGGAACACTGAATTTATTTATTTTTTATATTGTTATTGAATTCAGAGAGGAAGAGAGAGAGAGAAACATCAACGATGAAAGAGAATCATTGATCAACTGCCTCCTGCATGCCCCACACTGGGGACCAAGACCGCAACCCAAGTCGAAACCGGTTCGGCTCAGTGGGTAGAGCGTCGGCCTGCAGACTGAAAGGTCCCAGGTTCGATTTCGGTCAGGGGCATGTACCTTGGTTGCAGGCACATCCCCAGTAGGGGGTATGCAAGAGGCAGCTGATCGATGATTCTCTCATCGATGTTTCTAACTCTCTATTCCTCTCTCTTCCTTTCTGTAAAAAATCAATAAAGTATATTTAAAAAAAAAAAAAAAAAAGGCTGCAACCCAAGCATGTGCCCTTGACCTGGGAATCAAACCCGGGACCCTTCAGTCTGCAGGCTGACAATCTAACTACTGAGCCAAACCAATTAGGGCAAAAAACACTGCATTTAGCCAAAGGGAGGTCGGAGTCACTTGAGTAAGGCGTGAGCTGGGGAGCAATGCCAGACACCAGAAGGTTGTGATGTGAATGGGCATGAGGAAGGAGGTCACAGGTCTAGACCAGATCTTCACCAAATTGCATGTGACGCGAGAGAAGAGATGAGGAAGTCTCTGAGGGTTCAGTGTGGTAGCAGGTGGAGTGGGGAGATGGAAGGGTCCTGGCCGTCGCATGGGCTGCTGGGAAAGCCCCAGCAGGCTGCCTGGCTCCTCCTCCCCGAGAGGATGGAGGTTCTGGGCACTGGGCGCAGCGGAGGAGGGGGCAGGTGCACAGAGATGAACTCGGTTGGGAGTGTAATGAAGAGACAAGGGAAGATCGTCCGAAGGCTGTTTCCTCTGAGAAGTCAGCTGCTGAGCTGAGGAATCGGCGGGAGGAGATGAAGAAGAGGCAAACTCGGGGGAGGGCCAACGAGGGGGGGAAATTCAAGGAGCAGCACGTGTGTGGAGCTCCACTTCCGGTTGGAGCTCCCAAGGCCCAGCCGTGCTTTGTTCCAGCAACAAGTTTCTTCGTCCTTTCAGCGAACCCCACTTGCAGTTGCGCTTGCTTCAGAGCAGAGTCCTGAACTAGATGGGGTCTAGTTCTCCTTCATCATAAGCAAATTTTAACGCTAAGGATCTCCAGTGAACCGCAGGCACGAGAGCCAGGCCCTCCCCTGCTCCAGTCCCATTCTCTCCCCTGTAAGCTGAGGAAGAGGGTCCAGTCACCTCCAAATTCTCCTCTGTCTTTGGCATCCTGTAAACTCTGGTTCCTTTTCAACTACTTTGTTTTCTGAAGCAAAAGGAGCTGACTGGATGCCTCCTGGCTCCTGGGTGCAGGCATTCCTGGGGCTCTCTCAGGTAAGAGGGTCTCGGGTTGCTGTATTCACAGCACGGAGCCAACGCCGTGGCCATCTGGCCCATGGCCGAATGTTTGCCCGTCTGATGTGGACATAAAGGGAGGAGACAGTTACAAAGCTCAGGTGTTATAAAGTGTGTCCTCTTGAAAGGGAACACATGTAAGACTTTGCAATAAAACCATAAGATTTATTAATTTTAAGGCTGGACCCCGTGAAGGATGCCCATAAAATTCTTATCTAGAGAATGTTCAGGAAACAGTAGAACAAAGACATCGTCATTCGGAGAGATATAAAGAGGCTCTCTCAGCCAAGCATATGGGCTATGTCAGAGAGGAAAGCAAACAACAAACGAGCCATCTCTGCTCTGGAAAAACAACTGATTTCCCAATAGAGTAACACGTGCTGCTACAGTCACACCGTCAAATGCTACTCAGCATGAGCAAAGCATAAAATATTAATACAGGCAACATGTGGAAGTGGCACAAAAGCCTTATGTCAAGTGAAAAAAAAAGCCAGACAGAGTACATATAGATTATTTCATTCACGTAAAGTCTTTTTTTTTTTTTTTTTTTTAAGGCAAAAGGAATCTATGATGTTCGAAGTCAGAATAGGTATTGCCTTGGGTGGGGAGATTGACTGCAAAGAGGCAGAAGAAAAATTTCTGGGTGATGGGAATGTTCCATAACTTGATTTTGGTTGTTGTTCCACAGGTGTATGGATTCATCAAAATCCTTCAATATTTAAGGTGTGTGCATTTTATGCAATGTAAGTTATACCTAATAAAGTAATATCATTTTTCAAAAATCATTTTAAAATGCAAAACAAGCCAAGTTAAACAAGGAATTTGGCCACAAGGGGAGCTACATTTCACCTAGTAATTTGAAGATGTGATATGGTAAGCCCCCTTCCCCTTGCCCCACGTGAGGAACAAGTGGATAATAGTACCATGGAAATAAAATAAAGTGACTTAAAGAGTGAGGGAAGGAAGCAGGCAGGGAAGGAGGGGGCTAGTCACGAACAGACTTTTCACTTGACCTCTCTGTGGCATAACTTCCATTGCCACCCCTTGAGTGAATCAGCTGATGCTTCTGAGCTGCTAGAGCTCTCCCCATAGCAGATAACACATGGTCCAGGAGAGGTGGGGGAGGGAAGATGGAGGAGGGGAGGTGGAGGAGAATGATGGGGAAAGGGAGGTGAAGGAGAGGTGAAAGAGGAGAGGCAGAGGAGGGGAGGCGGAGGAGGGAGCTTGCTCTGCCACCTGTCCTGCATGGGGGCTGAGGGAGCGGGCACAGACGGCAGCTCTCCCCACTGTAAAAGTTAATGAACATCCTCAGTGACTCATTTCCTCTCTGCTGATAGGATTGGTTCCGGTATCGCGGGGATGTTACAGGGCTTGCTTGCAGAAGAGCTCCTGATCAATATCTTTGTCAAATACAAAAGGATGAAGTCCAAGACTGTAAAGATGTGCACGTAGGGGGGGAGGAGGAATTCTTCCACAGCGTTTGTTTAAACAACGAGAAGCTCATGCTGTTTTCTTAGGATTTAGACGTTTCTCAAAGTTCAAGGCTCACCATTTCCGTGTGCAGTCCCTGAGGCCTTTGCCAGCTCCTTCTACCAGGCTCCATGTTCCACATTCTCCTAAAGCATTTTTATCTTTTTCACCGTGTCTGTTCCATCAGGGGATACATGCCCCAGGCCCCTGCCTGCCTGAGGCGCTTTTTGCATGCCAATCTAATATAAAAAATAATAATAATAATGGAGCCTTTGCAGACCTTCCCACAGGCACCGACAGGAAAGTAGGAACTGCTCATGAGTTAAAATGAGGACTAAGTGACCATTCGACCTTGACCTCAAACGAGGAAGCAGGGGGAAGCTCCAGGACTTGACCCACGGGGAGTTCCAGGGTCACCTGCAGAGGAAGGCGAAGGGACAGTCACTCAGGCTTCCGCCAGGAAAACCGGGGTCAGAAAGCCTCCTGCAGGTACGACAGAGACGCCCAGTGAAGTATAGCCTGGGTGTCCGCTGGGCAAGCTCATGAACTTGAACTGAAATCCAAGTGCTCCATCTCCCCTTCCCCAACCCCCACCATTCCTTCGAGTTCTCCAGATTATCGTCTTCAACATGGCCCCCTGTGTCCAGGCTTCCTCGGGAACAGGGACAAACTCTCCTTTGTTTCACGTGTACCTGTTTCTACAAAAATACCGGCTCACACCTTCTTGCTCTGTCCTGCCCAACGTGGTAGCCACCAGCCCCGTGGGAACCTGGGAGCAGGGAGCCGGTGTGCGCCTGCGCGAAGAAACAGGTTCTCCAAGCCTGACCCCAGCAGTAGCCGGGGACCCCTTCTCTGTAGGTGTGGGCTCCCCATGCAGCAAGCTCCCTCCCTCTCCATCTCTCACCCAGTTTTTAGTAAACCTCTTCCCCCAGCCCCATTTTTTTTAAATATATATTTTATTGATTTTTTACAGAGAAGAGAGAGGGATAGGGAGTTAGAAACATCGATGAGAGAGAATCATTGATCAGCAGCCTCTTGTACACTGGGGATGTGCCCGCAACCAAGGCACATGCCCTTGACCGGAATCGAACCTGGGACCTTTCAGTCCGCAGGCCAACGCTCTATCCACTGAGCCAAACCGATTTTGGCAAGCCTCTTCCCTTTTGAATCTGTGTGGACTGCTCCTGTCATTTCTTTCTGTTTTTTGTTTGTTTGGTGTGGGTTTTTTTAATTTTTTTTTTTTTTTTTTTTGAGAGAGAGGGAGAGAGAACCATCAATGATGAGAGAGAATCATTGATCGGCTGCCTCCCACATGCCCCACATTGGGGATGGAGCCCCAACCCGGACATGGGCCCTGACCAGGAATCAAACCGTAACCTCCTGGTTCACAGGTCAATGCTCCACCACTGAGCCACGTCAGCCGGGCTGCTTCCTTGATTTCTACCCTGAAAGGGGGCAAGAATCCCTCCATTGTGCAAAGTGGAAGGTTTTTATAGGAAACCGGGCAGGACAAGAGAGTTATTAGCAAAAGGGAAGAGAAGATTGTTCCAGGTAAGGTCGCCTGCCTTGGGAGGAAGGGAAGGGCAGGGGTCTTATAGGCACAGGTCCTAGTCGCTGAGCAGGACATTCCAGCTTCAAACTCTGCTCCTAGAGGAGCAGGTGCTGCAGCTGAGTCTTGCTTTGCTGCCCTGGGCCAAGTAGCCCCACCTGGGTCCTTGGTTCTCTCTCTCTCTCTCTCTCTCTGTCTCTGTCTCTCTCTCTCACACACACACATACAAGAGCTCACTGAATGTTTGTGGAACCACATCAAGGGCTCGTATTTGAATTTCCATCAGAAAATTCACTCTCTTGCCCGCGTTTTGAACCACCCTTCTCTTCCTGGACAGACATCGCCAGCCTGTGGAGATGCATCAGTGTAAGTGTTTGCACTTGCAGGAGTCTTTCCAAGGAGCCAGTAGCATCACCACGTGGAGGAAGGTAAGGTGATTCTGCCAAAGAAGTAAATAAACCACTTCTCTCTCCCAAAGGTAACTGCCTTCTCAATAATAATAATACGCCCGGCCGGCGTGGCTCAGTGATTGAGTGTTGACCTATGAACCAGGAGGTCACGGTTTGATTCCTGGTCAGGGCACATGCCCAGGTTGCAGGCTTGATCCCCCAGTAGGGGCGTGCAGGAGGCAACTGATTAATGATATTCTCTCATCAATATGTGTCCATCTCTCTTTCCCTCTCCCTTCCTCCCACTGAAATCAATAAAGCCATATGTGTGTGTGTTTTTTTAAGATTATGTGCTCTTTTGAGGGTAGGTATCTTATTTAAAGGATGTGTTCAACTAGATGCACACCACAGAAATAATAAAAGCTTATAAGAAAATACTACGAACAAAATCGAATCAGTAATCAAAAAACTCCCAACAAATATCCCTCTCCCCCCAAAAAGAGATAGTTTAAGGTTTTCTGAGTTCCGATTTTATTTCCCCAATGCAGTGCAATTCCAGTTCTTGTTTTTTAGGTCATTGTTGCTGGTTTGTGGTTTTAGGATTCTCTTTTTCTAAATTTCATGTATGGTGTGTCTACATGTAGAGGATATCTTAATAATTCTACTAGGTAGTCAGTGGGCCTTTTCAGTTCAGATGTCTCTCCAGTCACCTTGGTCTTGCATCCCAGGCTTTTATGTGGGTTCCATCAATGCCCACCTCCTGCGCCAACTAGTGGGGAGTCAGGGAAAGAACTCTTAGGAGCATCTACTTCTGTCTTATCTCCTCTAGTTCCTCTCTCATCTCAAGACTTAAAATCCTTATCTAGTGGCATGGAGATAGCAGAGCTAGGGGGAGGACAGGGGAAGATTTACCTAAACCAGTGGCCGGCAAACTGCAGTTCGAGAGCCACATGCGGCTCTTTGGCCCCTTGAGTGTGGCTCTTCCACAAAATACCACAGCCTGGGTGAGTCTATTTTGAAGAAGTGGCGTTAGAAGAAGTTGAAGTTAAAAAAATGTGGCTCTCCAAAGAAATGTCAATCATTGTACTGTTGATAGTTGGCTCTGTGGACTAATGAGCTTGCCGATCACTGGCCTAAACACACATTTTGTCAAAGCTTTCCTCTCCGACACCTGGGCCGGTGCTTTGAACTAGAAAGCCTTGGGAAAAGCCTTGGAGTCATATCGCTGTCCTCTGCTGAGCTGTGAAGCAATGACAGTGCCCATTCAGCTGCCAAGAGGGAAGGGGGCTTGGGTTAACAGGCAGTGTAAAAAACATAACTCGCCGAAACTGGTTTGGCTCAGTGAATAGAGTGTCGGCCTGAGGACTGAAAGGTCCCAGGTTCGATTCTGGTCAAAGGCATGTACCTTGTTGCAGGCACATCCCCGGTAGGGGGTGTGCAGGAGGCAGTTGATGGATGATTCTCTCTTATCGATGTTTCTAACTCTCTATTACTCTCTCTTCCTGTTTGTAAAAAATCAATAATATATATATAAAATCCGATAATATCAACCACATGCAGTTCATTAGGAAACTGCGCCTTCAAAGGGGTTGGGGAACGTGCCCGGTGGTACACAGTGTGTGGGCAACCGAACGAGGACCTGAACCAGAACCCACGGGGAGCAACCCTGGTGACAATTCTCCAGAGCATCATCAGAATGGTCGAGGGGTGGGGTTGGCACTTCAGAGAGAAAGCCTGCATGGCCTCCTCAAACTCACCACGTGGGGACGTGGCCTCTGTCCTGCCCCGACGGCAGATCCTCTCTGCGACGGCACAAACGTCACGAGTCCCCAGAGTCACAGTGGGGCATCTTTACAGAAAAGACGGGGAAATGCAGCAAAGGGGTGAAGAGAGAGACCAAAGAAAAAGTCAGTACGTGGAGAGGAAGACCGGCTATCCCTGAGGGCAGTTGCGATAATGTGGGCCGTAAAGAACAGATTCCGTGTGTAGACAGGGAGAGGCTTCCCTCTGCTTGCTGAAAACACACCTCACAGCCTTTGTGAAGCCATCCCTCAGAGGGGCCTTCCGGCCGCAGATAAGACTTTTTATGGGTGGATGATTATTTGTAAACAATGTGATTGCTCTATGATTAAAACAGCCGTCATATAATTCCCGAGGGGAGAAGATATAAGAGTGGCAGATACCGCCGGGGGTCTCTCAGAAGGCTGAAGAAGGGGGGTCCTCAGCGCCTTGAATGCCAACCAGGTAACTCTCCCGCTCTCTGCCAGCTGTTCCCTGGGCAGAAACGATCAGTTACAGATGGAATGGTCTTGGGCACACTTCTTGCTGTTCTGTTTGATATGTGAAGGGCTTCTTTTCTTTCTTCCCCCGTTATGAAGAGCATTGGCTTTGGTCTCAAATAGTGCAGGGTTAAGTCATGGCTCTGCAATCTAGCAGCTGTGGAACTTTAAGTTAATCTTTTTTTTTTTTTTTTCATCTTCACCCAAGGATATATGTATTGATTTTTTTAGAAGGCGAGGAGAGGAGAGAGAAATATTGATCAGTTGCCTCCCATACCTGGACCAATCAGGAATTGAACCCACAACCAAGGTAGGTGCCTCAACCAGAAATTGAAACCACAACTTTTTGGATGATGCTGCAACCAACTGAGCCACCCAGTCAGGGCAGGAAAATTGCTTTTTTAAAAATAGGATTTTTAGAGAGAGAGGAAGGGGGAGGGATGGAGGGATAGAAATATTGATGAGAGAGAAACATCATTAATCGTCTGCCTCCTTCCTGCATGCCTCTCTCTAGGGATCAAGCTCGAATCCCAGGTATGTGCCCTAACCAGGAATCGAACCGGTGACCTCTTGGTACCTGGGTTGATACTCAACCACTGAGCCAAGAAAATTAATCTTAATGAATGTGTGTCCTCGTATGTAAAATAAGCTAAAGATACCTGCAATGCACCTACTTATGAGAATTAAATTAGATGAGATGTGAGAATGCAATGAATGTCAATTCGTTAACGTTCATTTGTGGATTATTCAGAAAGATGCTGTACCTCCCTCCCTGCAGACAGTTGGCCTGATGGAGGAGTTCTTACTATTTGTGTTTCAGAGGGATTTTGGGACAGAATACCTCCATCACTTGGGAAGGAAGTTTGTCAGAGACTGCAGGGCTAGTGCAGTGATTTAAGGGAAGGGGATGGTCATACAGTCCCCACATTCTTCATCCTTTTGTTTGCTCTGTATTACCTGTGTCCAGGTGTCCATATGGAGTCTAATATGGAGCTAATCTTTAGATTTTCCAGGAAAGTTTCCATTTCAAAGTCATGTTCTATTCTTCCCCGTAAGCAATCTATTATTTGAGAGCTAGAACATGTGTCCTGATTTTTGGATCCTAATGCACGCTCACAGGAGAAGTCAATGAATTGCCCGTTTTCATAATTATTTGGGGGGGAAATCTTGGGCCCAATCCCATGCTCACGCCATGAATGCCAGATGGATGAAAATAGAAGAGAATGTGGGTAAGTATTCAGGTGGTGATGGCCAGTTTTTCTGATCTAAATTCCAAAGATATAAAGGTGATGGTAGATATGACAATTTTTGAAATTTTCAGTATGACAAACAAGATAAATAAGAGAAAAGACAAGATGGGAAATATTCTGAGTAATATATGAAAGACAATAGCTATTCAAAAAAAGGCTTCACAGATTCCCAGGGGGAAAAAAGATAAACAATCAAATAGGAAATGTGCAAAGCTATAAACCAAACCTTTACAAAAGAAACTGTAAAAGCTAATCCCTATATAAAGAGATGCTCCACTTCCTTTTAATATTTTAAATGCTTGCAAAAACAATGAGGTTCTTCTCTAGTATGTCAAAATTAGCAAGAACGCAATAGACAAATTGGGCATTCACTGAGGGCGCAGTTAATGGGATGTACAGCGCAGCCCAAATGGAGGGCATTGGAGCCAAGGGTGTCAATGCAGCAATGCCCACGTTTCGTGTAGCTAGAATCCTGCGTATGTGAATTTATACTAAAGAAAGAATCGGAGCTGCATAAAAACCACAGGAGTAGGAAAGATTTATTACAATCAACTTGTTTATAAGAAACAAAACCAGGTTGCAGGACTGATTATATGACTCCATTTGTGTAAAATCCCACACACGGAGAGATGTATATGGAAAGGGGTCCAGAAGCTAGTCCCTAAAGTGTTTATCTCAGAGAGATGGGATTTACTTCTCACTTTCTAGTTTTTCAATGATCGAGCGTGTACTGTGTGATGGTGGGACAAGATAACAAACTTTATTTACAAACTTTATTTTAAAAGGGGGCATCGCCTAAGTGTAAAAGGGTTGCGCTTGAGCCAGGAAATCTGGTTGTAGCTGTCTGACAAAGAGCAAATGACTTTGGACACATCAGCCTCCGGGTTCCTCCTCTGAACAGTGTGAGTGTTAGGAGCATATATTCGCTTTTAAATTTAGCACCAAACAATTCACTGTTTTGATTTGATTGACTTGTATACAGCAAGCCCATTATTACTTCCTCATCTGTGAGAAATCTTGCCTGCGACGCCCTCTGGCGGTAAACCTGAGAATAGCAGGGGCAGGCTCTCCACAATATACCTAATGCTCCGCATGAACTTTTAAACCATTCAGCCCAGTATAGCTAGGTTCCTGACACTAGCCCAGAAACCTGGCAAATAGGAACACCACCTCATACGTTCGGTGTTCCCACTCTCCTAAACATTTAGGTGAAGACGCCCTTTGGTGTATAATCTTGGTTTAGCCAGAAAAATATTGTTGTTCTCCATATGTGATTTGGCACCTGAATTCCTGACTCCGTCTCACCAGCGCACATGTGTTCAGATTGTGGATCTAGGTCAACCCAGGAGCTCGCAGAGAACTTGGACCAGGGCTCTGAGATCCTTTCAGTAAAAGGTTCCGAAGCTCGTCTGTCTCCGGGGAAGAGGAGGATGGCCTCGACGAGCGTGTGGCTGCTCCTGCTGGTGGCCGGCACCGGAGCCCTGGCTGGTGAGTGAATATCGGGCCCTCGGCTGGAACACAGCCCACAGCCAGGCTTCGTGCCACTCCCACGGCACAGGCAGATCCATTTGCCCCCAAAATATCTAGGCATCTCAGGAAATAGATGCTAAAGACAAAAACGAAAGACAATGTGATGTGATAAATAAATGAATGAATGAATGAATGCCAGGAATTTAGAATCAAGAATCCCAGCCTTGTATAATGGTGAGCCATCGTCAAATCATCAATGACATGTAATAATTATTTTGCAAGTTTGTGAAGGGTAGAGATATGTGTTTAAAACACCTGACGCCTTGCATTCAGTAAATGAGAGCTATACAAGGGTTCTGCCTTGCTTTCCTACTTGACCAAACAGGGAGTTTGGGTTGGATCCTACATGGGTACAGACCTAGCACCAAGTATAAAGTAACATGTCAACAAAGCGGGGAAAGTACCCTAGAACCCACCACCAGTGCAGAAAATGGGAAGAGTGAGCTAAAGAGAAGTCTTTCAATAAATATCTGAAGTGAAAGGAACCGCAATATAGGCTCCATTGTTCTATTGATGAGGAAAATGCAGTCCCAAGGGGTGCAGAGACATGGCCCAGGGTCACTCAGGAAGGTTAGGGGGTGCTCTGGCTCAGTCCTGGTTGCTCCCGCCATTCCCTGCGGCCCTGCTGGGCATTGTATGTGGAGGAATAAGTGGGCAAACCAAGGCCAGCCCACTTCTGCTGAGAAAGGGGCCTCTTGAATACAACTCCCAGAGGGGACTACCCTGGAGGGAGGGAGGACTGGGAGGAAGCACAGAGAGAAGCAGGGCTCTGGGGCATCATGTTGGTGGCCGTGGCTGATGTCCGTGGCCCAGCCGCCAGCTGTCCCAGCCACCCCTGGCTGCTCTGGCCCCGGGGCACGCAGACACTCTGGACTGTGCCAGGGTGTGTAAGACTCAGAGGCCCCTCCCGCAGAGCCGCCTCCGGTGCCATTTCTAACCGACTAACCGGTAGTTCCTGTTGCTCTGGTTCCGGCTTCCCTGAGGCAGCTTGACATTTGCCCACGCTCTGTGCTGGAACCTGGGAAACAAGCCCCCTCTCGGGGGTTCCCTGAACCTCTCCGCTTCCTCCCTCAGAGAAGGTGAAGGCAGAGCACTCACCCGGCTCTTCCGTTCCTTTTTCACAGCTCTCCCTCCTAGCTCCCAGCTGTGCAGACCTTCTCCTGATTCTACCGTCTTGGGGGGGGGGGGGGGCGCTCTCACCACACATCCTGGCCTTTTTTGCATTGTGGCTTGTGGGAGGAGTCTGATCTTGCTTTTAAGGGGAGTGTGGGAATGAGAAGGGCATTTTCTCTCTCAGGGAGACTTGATGGTCAAGAGCAATCGCCCAGTGGCCTCAGCGGTGATTCCCTTGTCCCGGCCCTCAGCTGCCTTTCACCTAAAACAATGCACTCCACGAGCAGGAAGACAGACAAAGCAACAGGACTGGTGGACAATGAAAGACTCCATCCAGGGACTGTTTTCAAAAGGATGACCCTGGTTATAATGATAACATGACTATACGTTTAATCGCTGCAATTACTTAAGTAGCTACTAATGACGGAGTAATTGCTACATGCCAGCCCTAGGCTCACCGCTGTCCCTGCAGCATCGCCTTGAATCCTCCCAACAGTCCAATCAGAACAGCACACGTTGTCAGGCATTGTGCAAACACTGCACTAACGCTAAGCGCGGCCGCAGAGGGCTCCCGAGGCCACATCTGGCGGCGGTAAACAGGCTGCTGCATCCAGGCGACACGCCAGCCGCTGAAGGCTCTCGCCACACACAGCACGCAGTGACAGGAGCTCTGGCACCTGTCTGACAGGAGAGATGGGGCCTGGGGTGGAGGTGGGGGGATGCTGCTAGGAACACTCGCCTTCCCCCAGGTCCCGCCTCATCTCCATCTGTGTGACCCCAGCAGGCCTCTTCACCTCTTTGAGAAAGTTCTTTTTTTTTCTTTTTCTTTTTTTTTTTTAATATATTTTATTGGTTTTCCACAGAGAGGAAGGGAGAGGGATAGAGAGTTAGAAACATCGATGAGAGAGAACCATCCATCAGCTGCCTCTTGCACACCCCCTACTGGGGATGTGCCCGCAACCAAGGTACATGCCCTTGACCGGAATCGAACCTGGGACCCTTCAGTCCTCAGACTGACGCTCTGTCCACTGAGCCAAACCGGTTTCGGCAAGAAGGTTCTATCTGTACAGTGGGATGGACATCTCTGTCTCTTAGACTGTCTGGTGATTAAAGGAAGCAGCCCATTCACCAATCGTCCTACAGGGAAAGTTTGCTGCTCTGGGTCATGCTTCCTTGGCTCCTGGGCCCAACCCACCCTCCCTCCCTCCTTCTCTCTCTCCCTCCTCCCTCCCTTTCTCCCACGCCTGCCTGACGGATACCCTACCCTTCAGGCATCATTACTTGTCCTTGCCATTCTGCCTCCACTCCTCTGCTCACTCACCCCCTCTGCCTAAAGCGTCCACTCCCCGGGCCACTGTCTCGCGGCCCAACTTGTCCCGGCCCAGCTGCCACCAGCCTGTCCCATGTCTTCCTGGATAAAAACCACGCCCTCCTTGTCATGCCTGAAGCTGCCAGTGTGAGCCCTCGCCCTCTCCTGGGGTGCCTTCACCTATACCTGTTGGATCTCAGTACCAACGTGGGGGTTCCAGCCTTTGCATTAGTTGATGGGAAATCGCCACCAGATGGGGTGGGCACCCACTGGGCCGGCTGTGAGAGGGACAGGAGCCAAACTCCGCTAGTCACCTGACTCCCTCGCCCCTCCGCTGACTGGTGGAGGGTGCCGACACTGGTTCTCCCGGAATTGGTGTCCTCCAAGGATGGATTCGTCCTGTTCCCCAGTGCACAGCCATCCTGGTAGGAGGCCATCGTCCCCCTGGGAAAGGCTGGGAGGACTCACAGTCTAGAACAGTGGTCGGCAAACTGCAGCTCGCGAGCCACATGCAGCTCTTTGGCCCCTTGAGTGTGGCTCTTCCACAAGATACCACTTGCGGGCATGCACGTATGGTGCGACTGAAACTTCATGGCCCACGCACAGAAGTCGGTTTCCGGCTCTCAATAGAAATGTCAATCGTTGAACTGTTGCTATTTGGCTCTGTTGGCTAACGAGTTTGCTGACCCCTGGGCTAAAGTATTCGCGACCTAGAGGAGTCCGAGCCTCCCTCCCATCGCAGGGACTCCAGGTCTGTCACGGGATGGAGGGTGGATGTGGCTGGCTTGTGCCGTCACAGCTTGTCGCTGCCTTGTGCTTCCATGCAGACATCATCATGAGGCCCAGCTGTGCTACCGGCTGGTTCTACCACAAGTCCCATTGCTACGGGTACTTCCGGAAGCTGAGGAGCTGGTCCGATGCTGAGGTAAGACAAGCTTGTCCACAGCCGGGGGTGGGCGGGGGGGTGGCTACCCTGAGCTCCAGACCTCATTTGACTCTGAATCAAGGGTCCTTGCTGGGCATCCCGAGAAGTCCCCTCGGGGGATGTCTGACTGACAGCTTAGGCCCGCTCCCAGTGGTGCTGCCGAGGTGGCGGGACCGCCACTGTGCTCGCCAGCCAGACGTGAGCCTGGCTTCTGGCTTACTGACCACCCGGGGGCAGCTTCTGCATTGAGCCTCTGCCCCCTGGTGGTCAGTGCGCATCACCGGTTGTCCCACTGTTTTGTCGATTTGCATATTAGCCTTTTATTATATAGGATAATTATAACAAACGTATCCCCCTGAGAAACGTATCCCCCTGGGCCTCGGTCATTATCTTCTCCGTTTACAGATAACAAAAGTAAGTGAGCTCAGAGAGGTGCAGTGACTTGTCCACGTCACATACACTAATGAGAGGCAGGACCAGGACCCAGGCACTTCCACGGGCCCCACAGCCGGGCCCCTGCCTGGAGCTGCCTTGTCCTCTGAGACCCGGCACTGGTCCCCTCTGTTGGTGACAGGAAGGCCAGAAAGCCTTCTGTGGGGGTTAAATGATGACTTCCAGAGGCTGTGGGGCTATGAGAGTCCCCGCTGCCTGGCACAGGCGAGGGCTGTGCTTTTAAACCTCGAGGCCTCACCCCGATTTCCCCTTGCCCACAGCTCGAGTGCCAGTCCTTTGGAAACGGAGCCCACCTGGCGTCCATACAGAACCTTGAGGAAGCCAAGGCCATCTCCCAGTACATAGGTGGCTACCAAAAGAACCAGCCCGTGTGGATCGGCCTGCACGACCCGCAGAAGGTAAACTCGGACGTGGCCCCCAGACGCCCACAAAGGCCCCCGGGGAAACCAGAGAGCCCTGGAACTGGCCACCAGGCCCCCTGGCGGGGGGCACACAGAGCGGAGCTCCAATCATGTGCCTCCAACGGAGAGGGCCCAACGCCTCCAGGACAGGGTCCGGTTCTAAGGAAAGTCCTTCCCAATCTTAGAGCGCAAAATTACCAGCTTAAAAAAAAAATGTTTGTGCATGCACACACACACACACACATACACACACACACACAGAGGGATAGAGAGTTAGATACATTGATGAGAGAGAATCATCGATCAGCTGCCTCCTGCACACCCGCAACCAAGGAACATGCCTTTGACCAGAATTGAACCTGGGACCTTTCAGTCCGCAGGCCGACGCTCTATCCACTGAGCCAAACCAGTTTTGGCTAAAGTTGGAAGTTTTTAGCTAAGCTTTCTCCTAGATGCCATTATGTTTTTTAAAATTTTATATTTTATTGATGAGAATGGGAGGTGTTCGGGGAGAGGGAAGGAGAGAGAAAGAGAGAGAGAGAGATTTGTTGTTCCACTTATCTATGCATTCATTGGTTGTTTCTTGTACACTGGAGACGGTACTGACCTCCTTGGAGTACCAGAACAAAGGCTTAGTAAGCAACTGAGCAGCTACCTGGCCAGAGCCCACACTCTCATGCTTTTGATGATTCCTTAAACTGTAACCTTTTGCACCAGACCCTCATTTTCCTCTCGTCAGCACCTCCTTGTAGGGAGCCTGTGAGGTCTTCGGGCTGAGGTCTCTGTGGGATCTGCCGTGAGCAGGTTCCCCATGGAGCGTCTATAGTCAACCCGGACTAGCATAAGGAGCACGGGGGCAGACACCCAGACAGTTCCTTGATAAAACTTTCCCATGGATGTCACACACATTCTTTACAATTAGTTTTCCATTTTTATGGATTCACACTGCTCCCAACCAGAGTTCTCATCTAGAGGTAAAATAAATATTTAATCTAGTTCCACTAGATAGGTTTTGCAATTCATTACTTTTTTTACATGGGTGACTAAAGAAAGTGGCGGATGCACGTTCTAAAAAGTATCTGATGTCTCTAGTTATCAAAGAAATGCAAATTAAAGGGACATGACTTATTGTACTACTGAACTTTTGTTTCATCTTAATAATATTTTTTCAATATTTCTAAGGATATGGACTAATTGCCCACTCCAGGGGGTGTAAATTCCTCCAAATGAATCATGTTGGACAGGAGTTGGCCATGCATATCAGTCCCCTTGAACTAGTCATGCCTGGTGGCCATTCATTCTATTTCTGGAATTCTATTCCAAGAAAATAATTTTAAATCTAGAGACAGCCTTCTGAACAAAGTTAAAGCAGTATTATCTGTAATCATTGTAAATTGAAAACAATATAAATTTCAATCATTCAAGTAAATTATGGTACAGACCTACCATTAAAAAATGTTTTGGAAGCAAGATACAAAGTTGGGCGTATATTTTAAAGATCACCACTTTTTTTTAGTTCACAAACATATTGTGATAGATAAAAGCATTTACACCAGAAATGAATACGCTAAGAGATGAATAATGTTTACGGGGCGACTTTCAATGCTTCCTTTTTCACACATGCCTGTGCTTTCCCACTTTTTAAAATCAAAATAAAAACTGCATTTTTAACCCAGCCAGCGTGGCTCAGTGGTTGAGTGTTGACCTACAAACCAGGAGGTCACTGGTTTGATTCCGGTCAAGGGCACACGCCTGGGTTGTGGGCTCGATCCCCAGTGGGGGATAGATGCAGGAGGCAGCCGATCAATGATTCTCTCTCATCAGTGATGTTTTATCTCTCTCTCCCTCCCTCTCCCTTCCTCTCTGAAATCAATAAAAATATATTTAAAACCAACACAACAACTGCATTTTAGAGGAGCCCGAGGGCTGCCCCTGGTCTGTGAGAGGGTGGGGTGACCCCAGGCTGTGAGGGGCTGGGGGGGGGGGGGGTAGAGGGTGGCGCTAACCTCTGCATGCCCTCTGTCCCCTGTCACCCGCAGAGGAAGCAGTGGCGGTGGATCGACGGGTCCATGTTTTTATTCAAAATCTGGTCTGCAAAGTCCAGAGCCGGAAACAAGCCCTGTGCGGAGATGAACGCCCACAGTAAGTGCTGGGGCTCCACCCTCCCGTCCCCCCCTTATCTCTGGTCCCGAGCGAAGCTCTCAGAAAACGCTGCTCGGCTCTGCACAGAGCACTGACGTGGCTGTCCGTTCTCTTGCAGACTTTTTAACTTGGAACAGCAAGGAGTGCGACAAGCGCCAGCACTTCATCTGCAAGTACCGGCCGTAGAGCAGGAATCGGGGTCCCACAGCCCCGGCCCAAACCCTCCCCCCCACCCCAGTCTCCCCCACTTCTTGCCCTGCCACGCTGGCTACGTCCGATCACTGCCTCAGGAAGTAAACGTGGTAACCAAGGCTGGTGAGGTTCTTATTGCGCTGCTTTTCCCGGGCTGGAGGCAGAGAGCGCGACATCGACACCACAACGGCTTCTAGCGCTGCATGCTCACCCCACAACCGCTGTCCATGACCCTCCTCTGCCCTCCTCCCGCCTCCCCGTGTCTCGCACAGACGAGGGGTGCACGTCCCTCCTGGCGAGAGAGCTGGGTGTCTGGCCACAGGAACACAGGTTGGAAGACGGGAGGGATCGCTCGTGAGCTGTCTGAAGCAAAAAGGAAAACGTATTGCTTACGTGGCTCCAGGGCCCACAGGCCAATCTGGGCTTCAGGCACGGCTGGCCCCAGGGCTCCACACAGCCCCCAGGGCAGGGCTCTCTCCGTATCCCTCCCCCTTGTGCTGCTGAGAATAAGCTTTTATTATTCCCCCCACCTAGCTGACCAGTGGGCTACGGCAGCTCCGACCCTCTCCTTGGCAGGAGAGAGAGCCACAGCCCTCCAACAACATCCCCCAAATCACAGCCTCCTTGGCCAAGAACCTGGAGCCCCATGCTCCCTCGTAACCGGTCACTATGGCCCCGAGGGTGGAATGGGATGGTTGACTTCGCTCCGGTCAGTGGTGGGCAAACCGCGGCTCTAGAGCCACATGATGCTCTTTGCCCCTTGCCTGTGGCTCTTCCATAAAATACCACATACAGTGTGATCGAAACTTCGTGGCCCGTACACAGAAGCAGGTTTTCAGACTGGGCAAGTCTATTTTGAAGAAGTGGTTCTAACGCCGAGCCACACTCAAGGGGCCAAAGAGCCGCATGTGGCTCGAGAGCCTCGGTTTGCCAACCACTGGCTCAGGTGTATGGCAGGTGGCCCCCTGGAGCCCAGGGGTGTGGTTGAGGCCTCTGCTGCAGAGGTGGTGCCTGTGGAGGAGGGATGCCCCTCTGGGAAGGCACAGCCAGGGGACCGCAGGCCAGAGCAGGCTGCCCCCTAGCGGCATACCTGGGGCAGTGCACCTGCTCACCGCCCTCTGTGGCCCTGCTGGCTGAGGGCGGGGGAGGTGGTTCTCCGCCTGGGGGCAGGGGCCTCCTTTGGGGAGCTCGCTCCTGAGGCCCCACAGCAGGACTTTAGACTCGTCTGAGCCGAGAATGGAGAGGCACCTGATGCCAAAAAAGAAAGCAACGAGACAGACGTTGCTCCCCAAGACGTGCTCCCGTGCCTGCAGCTCCAGCCACCGCCCGAGGCTGTTTGTTTTACCGGGAAGAGCAAAGGGCTTGGAATTAGGCCTCCCGGGCCTGAGCCACTGCCTCCCACCAGCAGCGGGAGATGGAGCCTGAGGCCTCCGAGCCTCGGTCTTCTTTCTCCGGAACCTCAGGGTTCAATGGATGGACACAGGTAGCGTTTGGAACGGGGCCGACATTCGTGCTTCACGCGTGCAGCTGTCCTCTCTGAGAGTCACACAAGCTGTCAGGATGGCTGCTTTTGACCATGGCACAAGCTGACACCCTCCATGGGGGGTCGGAGGTCAGCAGCCCAGGAAACACTTGTACGTGTGTCTGCTGGCCCGTGCGTGAGCCCACGGGAGGCCACATAGACAGGATGGTGAGGGAGGGGCCTGCCCAGCTCTCATTCAAAAATCTAGCACATGCTTCCATCAGACTCACTCCGCCTGAAGTTGTCCCAGTCACTGCGTGGACAAAGGCAAAGGAGAGGAAGCTGAGGGCACACAGAGGAAGCCAGACATCATACAGATGGACATCTTTGTGACCTTGGGTTAGATGTCCTAGGACCCAAAAAGCAAAAACCACAGAAGGGGAAAAAAAAAAAATCATAAATTATCATCAACATTAAAAGCGTTTGCTCTTTTTTTAAAAATATATTTTATTGATTTTTTTAGAGAGAGGAAGGGAGAAGGATAGAGAGCTAGAAACATCGATGAGAGAGATACATCAATCAGCTGCCTTCTGCACACCCCCCACCAGGGATGTGCCCGAAACCCATGTACATGCCCTTGACTGGAATCGAACCTGGGACCCTTGAGTCCGCAGACCGACGCTCTATCCACTGAGCCAAACTGGTTTTGGCAAAAGCGTTTGCTCTTAAAATACATGGCTGGGAAGCTAAAAGACGTGTCGTAAAATGGGAGAGAATATTTGTACCACATAGACCTGAGAAAGGACTTGCAACTCTATAAGAAGGCAACTTGGTTATTTTTTACATGGGCAAAGGAAGGGAACACTTAACCAACACACACACACACACACACACGAATAGCCAATGGGCACATGAGTCGATACTCAACCTCACTAGACACGAGAGCACTGCTAACTACGGTAAAACCACATGTGGTTATCCTAGGAATCAACACAAGAAAATCCATCAGTTGGTGTACTATGTCATAGTCATAGAATGAAGGAAAAATCCTCACATGGTTATCTCAGTTGGCTTTTTTTTCTTTTCTTTTTTTAAGCATTTGGCAACGTCTACCTTCCTTTTATAATTAAAAACAATCTCAGAGCCCTGGCTGGCGTGGCTCAGTTGGTTGAGCGCCAACCTGTGCACTGGAAGATCTCCGGTTCGTTGTTCTGATCCTGTTTACTCCGTAGGATTATTACCCGGCTTTTCCTCTAGATCCTCCTCCCCGTAACCAAACACAAACGGAAGAGAGTTTCCCAGTGGGTCCAAGAGGAAATTTGTTCTGCCTCTCATCTGAGCCAAAAGCCAGACTGCTGCAATTCACCTGCAGGCTATTGCAATTCACCTGGTGATGTGGCGACCTAAATCTTGAAGCTAGCAAAGTTTCAGGCTTCCAAGTTCAGAGAGGAAGGGAGAGAGAGAGAAACATCAATGATGAGAGAGAATCATTAATCTGCTGCCTCCAGTACACCCCACACTGGGGATTGAGCCTGCAATCCAGGCATGTGCCCTGACCGGGAATCAAACCATGACCTCCTGGTTCATAGATCAACGCTCAACCACTGAGCCACGCCAGCTGGGCCCAAATCCCTTCCTTAGCAGCCAATTATTATTTTTCTTACCTCATGGAAGGCTGACAGCGTTCACACAGCAGACCCTCCCTTGAATTCTCAGGTCCAGCTAGTGTGCCCCAAATGAGTGGCAGGGGTCCCGTGTAGAGGAAGGGCTTGCGGGCAGTGGGAGGAAGCGGGAGGAAGTTGGGTCCTCTTCAGCCTGTAGATGCTGATTCGTCTCCTCACGCCTCCCCAGTGCTCGACGTTCATTTGCTGAACACTTACCGTGTTCAAGGCGCCGTGTTCGGTGGCAGACCTGCCTCATCCCCCCTCACCACCATAGTCCGATGATACTCTAAGTGAGGAAGCCGATTCTAAGAAATTCTAAACGATTCGTTCAGTGCATCTAGGTAGGAAATGGCGGACTCCAAAGTATGTGAATGCCACTGTCCTACAAGTTATGTAGCTATGGATGTAAAGTTTATGTGTCTCTCATTCTCTATTCTTCCACTCCAGCTCCCTCCCTCACCCCAGCTTGGCAGCCATTCCTGGTTGCAGCTCTGTTTTCTGTAAGACACAGGAGGCTTGCATGTTATTAAACGTGTTTGCTTTTCTCTTGTCTATCTGTCTTTTATTATAAGGAGGTCTCAGCCAAGGACCTAGAAGGAAAAGGGGAAATCATTCTTCCCCTCCTCGTTTTTTAGTAGTGCCTTCCAGTATGAAATCTTCCTTTTCTTCCTCAGACACACAGAAGGGTTATTTTAATACTTGGTCTGTATGTTTCCAGAAATTCTGTTTCCTATGGTGTGTGTCCTTCTGTGTGCTGTCTGCCTTTTGCAGTCTTCAGAGTATTGTTACGTTGGCGCCCACAGTCTTGGGGGGGGGCGGGAGGGGGGAGACACACTCTCTGGTGCTGTGTGTTGGGTAAGCGCTGAAGGCCTGGCCCTGGTAGGTGTGTATTTCAGGGGAGGGTCCTCAGGGAGAGCCCCAGACATGGCCTACGCCCTGTGGACCATCCCTGTTTGCAGCCACGTCACCAGAAGACCCCCCTGACCAAGGATTCGCATTTCAACTGCTAGGAGATCACGGCCCCAGGAGAATATTGCCGGGCCATCCATGGGGGAGCGGGGGTTAAGAATGGAGGTTGGTGACAGGGATCGGCAGAGTGTGGTTGGTCAATCTGCAAGTCTGTGCACGCACTGGGCACCAGGACAGAGCTTTTACAATGTCCCTCCTCCCACTGCCCCCTCCAGCCATCCTCCACCCCCGCTTCCAGCCTCATCCCTGCCCCTGTCCCATCCCCATCTCGGGCATCCTTCAGACTCCTCAGAGATTTCTCACAGCTTTTTTTTTTTTTAATTAAGGTATTATATGTGTACATATCTTACCATTGCCCCCCCCCTCCCGCACTCCCATACATGCCCTCCCTCCTCAGAGGATTTCTCACAGCTTTTAAAACAAAACATGCTTCCAACTCATGCTTTACTTATTTTTCTAGTGCTTTCTGGGATAAAGCATTCAAACAGCCCTAGTGCCAAATTAAAAAAAAAAAAAAAAAAAAAAAAAAAGACAAGATAAAAAAAAAAAAAATACTATGCAAATTATAAGAATGCCAAAAAAATTCTGAGACCTCAATAAATAAATAAATAAAGCAACGGCGGTTGCTTATGTAAATTGTTTACCTTGTGGCTCACTCTTTGTTATTGACAGAAGATGACTGTGTTTCCAACCATTTAAATGTGTGCGGAGGTGAATGCAGACCGGAACTGCCAGGGAAGGGATGCCAGGAGATGCCAGGAGATGCCAGGCTGGTTGTTTGAGAACCACAGGCGACTGTGAGCGCACCGCGTCTTCCCTGTGCAGATATTTCACCCTCCCTCCGTGGCTCTCACCTCGTCTTGCTGAGCTTTGTTCCCCGCGTGCTACCATCAGCCCGGGCCACACCTGGGCTGGTGGAAACCGAGAGACAGCAACACGCCCACTGCTCCGCATTGTCCTGAGTCATTCAGTCAGACACCGCACCCTTTCCCCTACTTCTCTCAGGACCTTTCACTTAATTAGA